CTTTAGGCTACTCAGATTTCTCTCCCCTCATCTAGAAACCCAACTTCCCTGTTTCTATGGGAACAGAGCCTGAATCCCAAATAAGACCTGCAGAACTTTTAGAGGAAGCTCCTCAGAGTTGAGTGCCTTCGCAGAGCGTGGGGCGAGGTAGGGACCATGGGCTGCCACCCAACTCGAGGCCTTTGCTCTGCCCTGTGCTGCTGGGATTGAAAATAAGAAACAGAAATTCAGGCTTTGTCCCCAGCCACAATGCAGAGCTCTAAGGGCACCTGGAATTTCCTAACACTATGAAGGTTGACAGGATGGTCTTTGGTTATTTCTAACAACCCCCACTGGAACACATCTGAGCTGATGTCACCATCATGGGACTTCTGGACCCTCCCTAAACATGAGGCTGGTGCCAGGACTGCTGAGCATGCAGCTAAAGGGTGGGAACTTTCTGCCCTACCCCTCAGGGCTGGGAGGGAGGCTGCAGCCTGTGCTGGTCACCAGTGGGCAATGAACGATGTGATCAGTCACACGTAGGAAATGAGGTCTCCCTAAAACCCAAAGGATGGAGGTACCAGGAGGGGGTGCACCAAGAGAATGCATGAGAACCCCCCTCCACACACCACAGCCCCTGGAGGCTTCCTCTGCGAGGCCTGCTCTGCCCCATCTCAGCCTCTGGTCACCTGCACCATCTGGAGCCAGCACTTGAGGCAACTCTGAAAGCCCCTCACTGCCATGTCCCTGTGCCATTCTCTCCACCTTTTCTGCTTCTGAACGTCTGCTTGGTAACTGCTGGCTGCATCCGGGAGACAGGTGGCCCACTCCACATGTGCACTGCCAGGGCAGAGGGCTCAGCTCCACACACACAAACCCTTCTGAAGTAGCTGCAGTGACAGGAGTGGCTCAGGTCAGCAATTCTGTGTGTCAGCCAGGGCTGGCCAGAAAGACCAGTGGAAGGACTTTGCACATGAGTGCATGCATGCGTGCACATGTGCTCAGGCAGGTCTACGCGAACAAATATAAAAATGTGCGTATCTGGATCTACACGTAAACTGTAGACAAAACTACATGCCCATATGTGTGTTGAAGGTCTATTTTAAGGCAAGGATCCTTACCCTCTGGGCTACTGACCAGTATCAGTCCATGGCCTGTTAGGAACCAGGCTTCACGGCAGAAGGTGAGTGATCGATGAGTAAAGCTCTATCTGTATTTTATTAGCTGCACCACATCCCTTGCTGCCTGAGTTCCACCACTTGTCAGATCAGAGGCCCCATTAGAGTCTCATAGGGACACAGACCTCGCTGTGAACCAAGCATCAGAGAGATCTAGGTTGTGTGTTCCTTTGAATCACTTCCCCCATAATTCACAGAATAGCTGTCCTCCACAAAATCAGTCCTGAGTACCAAAAAAGGCTGGGGACTCCTGTGTTAAGGACTTGAATTAGAGGACTGTGGAGCTGGCAAGCTTAACATTCACAGGATAGACCAGCAGCTGGCTACTCAGGCTGGTGATAACACTGGTGTTGAAGCAAAATGTGTTCTCAGTTTCTCTTCTGTTGTGCTCCACAGATTGAACGAGACCCATGTGCAGGTTGGAGCCTCACCTCCTGTACTTCCACCAGGTCTACACAGCACCTTTGTGGTAGCTGGCATATAAACGTCCAGGTAGGCAACGGGGTACTATAACCTCACTATACGACAACTTGTCACACTGCCCCTTGTTGCCACTTCTACCTCTCTCTGATATAGCTTCACCTTAACTTTGGCCCCCATTATCAGAGCTCCTCCTACTGTCTATCATTGTCTTCAGAATGTTTTCTGTCAAGCTGAACACTAGGAAAGGGTCTATGTCAGGATGCAAGGTTCATTCCCTGCCCGGAGGAAGCAACATCTTCACTCCAGAACACAGAACACTAGACTGGAAATCAGGAGGCCTGAGGCCCACTGAATCCAACACTGTTATTAAAATCCCTATGTGTTAGCGTTTGGTCCTTGTGACAAAATACAGAGGAAGCATTTATTTTGGCTCATGGCTTCAGAGGTTTCAGTCCATGGTATGGCAGAAACATGGTAGAGTAAAGCAGCTCACTTATAGCAGACAGGAAGCAGAGTGAGGGTGAGAGACAAAACATATCCTCCAAGGGCACAGCCCAGTGACTGGCTTTGTCAAAGCAGGGCCTGCCTTCTAATGCACTTTGACTTAATCAACAGATTGACTCCTCAATGACATCAGAGCCCTCATGGGCCCATTACTTCTCAAACACCCACCAGGCTTTGACACAATGAGCCTTATTAGGGATGTTTTAGATCCCAACCATGACATTGACTTATGTACCTTTCCTTCTCTTGTCCCATAAATGAACAATTAAAAAGCCTCATCAGGAGCTTTGAAAACTCTGTGAAAGTGGAAAGACCCATCATTATCACCATCACTACCATTATCAGCGGCCCCACCATCACTGGCATCACCCTCGCTACCCTACCTGTCATCACCACCATCACCATCACACTGCCACCGTTACCATGGTCACCAGCGCCATCAGTGGTGGCAAACCTGTGGCACTCAAGCTACAGTGGGCTGTTTGTATCACAGAAAGCTCTAAAAGGTTCACATCTCTTTTTACCACCATCTGTTGTTAGAGATACACCCTGGTGATGTTTTAAGTGCTTCTTCTCCTTTGTATTGTCCTTAAATAAATCATTTTTGGCTTTTGATTCCCAAACCTTAGCAGGGTCGGGAACTAGGTTCCCTGAATCCATGGGCCGCAGTGAAGTCTGAGAACTGGCATTCCTCTCAAGATCTGATATCCTCCTGGTGTCATTGGGCTAGTATCGGGATCAAATCATGAAGCAAAGGAGTGGCCAGATGAACCCCACCATGACCTCTCACCTGTGTTCCTAATGCTACCAAACAGCACCATCACTTTCCAGGTGAACACAGTCGATCCCTCAAAATGAGGCAGTTCCCCGTCCTCCCCCACCTCCAAACTCACTATCAGTGATACTACTTTCCTAACTGGGAGAAGAATCGTGAGTACCAAGTGGAAGCTGAGGACATTGTGAGGGCAAAGATCCACAAGAGTGACCTCACCTGTTGCACAGTATTAAAACACAAGACCAGGAACTATGAAAGAGGAAACCAGCTCCTGAGCTGCCATCGGGGCCCCTTCTGGATATGCACAGCAGCCGGACACTGACCCCACTAATCCCACATTTGGAGGGTCCAAAATTGGACCAATTCAATAGCATTTTACTACAGTGCAGCAGTGGTCCTGGGTTTGTGCTGGTACAGTATTGCTGCCATGAGGGGGTGTTAAGCATCCTGCCAGGACTCAGGGATGAAGATGTTCCCATCTCAGGTGCTCACTGCGGTGAAGAGACAGTAGAGAACTGAAGGAAGGGGGCATTTGAACGGGCCTGCAGTTCTTAAAAGCACAGAACACTGGCTTCTCCAGACTATCTTCACAGTGCAAAGAGTCACAAATGGCTCTCTGGCACTGTCTAAATGCCTGCCTCAGCTGCTACTAGTAGGCAACTTAAGCAACGTTTGTTTGAAGAACCCAAGCAAATTGGTCAAGCAATGGCCGTGACTCATCACATGGCTGACACTGACAAAGGATCTGCAAACTGCAGTACAGGGTTACAGGATAAATCCTGAGGGGATCTGACTGACCTTATCAGATACAAAAGTTACATTTCTTATTATATAAGTCTTGCTTTATCTTGGTCTTAACCATCCAGCAGAAAAGTATAAAAATGAGGTATATAAAGTAAAGCCATATTAATATGCTGAGCTGTAAAAGGCTCAAGTCAACAACTTCTGCAGATAACCCACTACTATTGTGGACTGCTGGACTGTGTTGGATTGTTTTGCTGAATTCACACACCTATAGTATTTAGATGTCAATAGAAGACCCATCTCCGACAGGACTAAACAAAAAAAGGATACAAAGGAAGGACCATTTTGTATTTGTATATACAGAATAGTTAGGATAGATATACAGCTACTTTCACTTAATTCAATGAGAAGAAATATTTGTACTAACAGTGTTTGGACAGGATATTCTGTCTGCATCTTACACTATGGATAACCACTAAGAAGATAACAATGTACAAGGTATTAGTTACTGAAACTGTCCTATTAATCAGCTTTGAAACTGTGTCACTGATATTTGTTTCTCAATAAAATAAAATAAAATTTAAAAAAAAAAAGGAAAGGAAAGAGGTACTAATGCATGCTACAGCAGAGACAAAATTTGGAAACACCATGTGGAGCAAAGGAAGTAAACACAAAAAGTTACGTGTTGCACGGTCCCATTTGTAGAACACGTCCAGAACAGGTAGATTTGTACAGAAACCAGCTTAGTGGCTGTCTAAGGGCCTGGGGAGAGGGAACAGGAGTGACTGGTTGGGGTGTAGACTTTCTTGTTGGAAAGAGTTTACAATTAGTGGTCTGATTGGTTGTACAACATCACAAATGCCCTGAATGTTACTAAATTTTATGTGTTCAGATAGTTAAAATAGTAAACATTTGTGTTATATGTATTTTGCCCAATTAAAAAAAAAAATCAGGAGCTGGTGGTGTGTTCCACCACGGCACCCCACGGCCATGCCAGGCGCAGAGGATTCTTCCCACAGTCTGGGGAGGCGCCGAGTAGAGGTGCTGACCTCGCACCCCCTCCCTGAAGCTGAAGCTTGCCCGCTTCAGTCGGTGGACGTCAGAGCCTGCTCTTCCCCACAGCTTTTATTGCCCTTCCAGGATGCTCCACGACAGGAGCCTCCACTTTATTTGTGTCATCTGATCCAACAGGAAGCAAGATACAGGTGAACCCAGAGACACCAGCAGCTTGTGGCACTAGAGCCACAATGCAGCCTCTGACACGGGGGAACAGCCACGGCACAATGAGCGACCTCATGTTGTATATACGATGCATGTGGTGCGTGCAGGAGACCGAGCCACGGCCCACAGGGCCTCGCACACAGGTGCTGCGGGCTGGCTGGAGCTGTGCTTACCTGAAACGGCGTCTGGCTGTTGTAGTTTTTCAACTCCTTATTTCCACCCCGAAATAGGAGTACTCTTGCACAGCTGTCCTGCAAATGGAAATGGAGAAAACGGCTTGTAAAACAGTTGGACGCTGTTGAAACAAGGTCCCTTGGGGAAACGCACACTCGCTGCAAATCTCAGGCTTGTACCTGCAAAGTTAAAAGGGTGATAGGTTTTGGCTAAGAGCAAATGGGCTCCCAGACGCTTCCGGCTGAGGGTCAGCTGCTGCAAATGCTTTGGACAGTAGCTGGTACAATCTATAAAATATTTAAAACACATCCATCCCATGAACAAATGATTCTACTCTGGAAGATGGGATGCTACAGAAAGAGGAAGGCTTGTACATGTCTCTAAAATATGTAGCAAGCAAAATATCAAAACACAAAAAGGAAGGAGGAAAGAGAAAAATCTACAGATAGCAGAAGTATACTAAAACAATGGCCGGGGGGGGGGGGGCATTCTAGAAAATTCTTCCCTAGGAAGCTGCAGGACAAATAGTACACACAGACAGAAGCTGAGAAGCAGCCCTTCCAGAGAGAAAGGGATGGCACAGACCAACAGGGTGGACTTAACTTCCTTTGCATTTTAATAGTTTCAAATCTGAGCAGCATGAAAGTGGGGTACACTCCAGGTGCCAACAGGCACTGGCTTCTGGGAATAAAGACTCAGGATGACCACAGCAGGACTCTTTTGATGTAGATGTATTTTATTCATCCTTGTAAATGAGCAGGCAATCAGCCATTTCTTAGGAATGTTTACAATGAAAATAAACCTGAACCTGCCCGTTGATTTACACACCAATCTGAGAGAGAACCACTTGCTGACTCCTTATAAACTCTCAGTGAGGTGAGCAGAGGGGGTCACCACAAATACAAGGGCAGGAGGGCAGTGGCTTTAGCAGCAGTACTGGCTAGGATCATGTGTCCCTTCATGGGGACAGGTTCTCTGAGAAACATGTCCTTAGGCGATTTCACCATCCCGGGAACTTCACGGGGAGCACTTCCACAGGCCGCGATGCCTGCGGTGCCACAAGTGACATCATCGTAGGGCACCATGGTTGTGTGGGTGCTTCATCATCAGCCAGAATTCACTGCGTGGTGCATGACTACGCGAGAGTAATTTTGCCTAATGAACGCAGCTGGCTGTTCAGAATAAATTATGGTGGAGGATGTGCGTTTAGATGTTCAGTATAGGCTGGGGTTCAGGCCCAGGATTCTGAGAACAGCGAGAAAGCAATCAGCCTGCTACCAACCTGGATGCTTTCTCTTATTTGCCGAGGTCCTCAATGCAGGACAATGTAACCTCACAATGTAACCCTGAGTGGGGCACATGTCCAATTCTAGGTGTGGGTGGCAGGAAGGATTACCCAGACTCGACACTCCCATAGTTACTCAATGAAAGAATAAATGCAATAGCTAACCAGAGATTCCTACTTGGTCTCAGCTGTGGGAAACAAGTCAGAGACATGCAGGGCGGAAGGGCACGTGTCCTAGGGAATGGCAGGGCCCAGGGAGGGACAACGCACAGGTCCTCAGCCTGGCACCAATGGCGATTTAACACAAAAGCCTCAAATCCATCGGCAGCAAGTAGAGCGACAGTTGTCTAGGGCTGGGAGGGTCCCTGCATCAGAGCGGCTACTCACAGGTCCAGGTGGTAAGAGTGTTCTTACGTCAGTTCTTACATGGAGACAGGTGCAAGACTTTCCAAAGAGACCAAGAGCCACAAGGGTGGAGTGTGCGCTGTGTCTTAAGGTGTTACAGAGTTAGAAAGAAGACAGATAGTGAGCTACACTGGCAGGAGGTCTGCACCCCCTGCTATGAAGGCCACATAAGCCACAAGCATAGGGAGTGGCTGGCAGCTAGGAGTGGCTGCTCCCTTGGGACCTGGGCCCCATGGTAAAGTCAATGAGGAAATCACTTGCAAATAGAGCTGTCAGAAGCCTGAGGCAGAAAGACCCTACTCTGAGCTCCTGGCGGTGGCATCTAAGGTAGGCCACTGATACAGAACCAACCTGAGGCCCTGGTTGCACTCATGTGTGGCCCTGTGCAGGACATGACCTGCATGCCGGGCACATACTGCCTCATGTCCCCTCGGAGGCCATCTCTGGACTTAGGGGCTGTGTCTGGGATGTTCAGAAACCACTCTGCCAGGCCTGAGTTGCCTAGCCTGGCCTAGGGAGCACACTGCACTGTTATTCCACTGCAGGAAGGCCAGAGCGGCTGGGAGCAGGGGCGTACGCAGAGCACCTCGCACCACTCCCACAGCACTCCACACCAATTCCAGTGAGAAGAAAATCCACATAGGTTTCCCTGTGCCCTTCGGTGGTGGTTCTCATGAGGGGTGCTTTGGGCTCTTAGTAGACCCTGTCAATGTCTGGAGATCTCTCTGCATGTGACAATCAGCAGTGCTACTGATACATGGCGGCTGCAAATCCTAAGGTGCTTCTACAACAGGAAGTTATCCAGGCCCCAGCAGGACATCCTTGCCATGATGCCTCTGATTGTGACAACAGAGAGGGCAGCAGATACCTCCACAGGGTCACAGGGACACCCCCCTGCTAGCCTTGGGCTCCAGCTGATCAGATGCTAAGGCGTACCAAGCCCCCGCTAGCCCATGCAGGGTTTCTTCCCTACAAGGTGTGGAGCTCAGGAGTGTCATCAGGCAAATGTGGGGAAGCCACTCGCTGTTCTCTGGGAAGACAGCCTGAGGGCTCACTGTGGGCAAGGGGCTGCCTACGCAAGCATATCCCTGCCGCAGCCAGCTCCGCAGGCCAGCCAGGTCCCCACTGGGGAACTGGGAATGCTTTCTGTAGTGCACAGCACCATGAACCCCTTTCTACAGAAATAAGAAGGGAAGGTGAGTCTGCAGGAGCCAGGGGTCCTCGGCCCTTTGCCTCCCTCCCCAGTGCCCAGGTGAGTAGATACCACTTCTCTGCCTCTACCTGAAGTCTCCTCTCTACCTTCCTTCTCCCCAGTTCCTGCCTTTCACCCTCTCCTTTCCCTCCAGTGTCTCTCTGGCCTGAACTGTCACTTTCCTAAGGGCTCTGGGCTATAAAGAACAGAGCTGCACTGTGGGGGGAGGGGGGAAGACTTAACCATCAGCACTTTTGGTGAGCTCCTGGTAGGAACCAAGCTGAGCAGCATCGCACCCTGTCTGAATGAGGTGTCCAGTGCTGAGGACCCCCATGGCAGAGTGACCTGCCCGTCGGACATGGGAACACTGGGCTGGGGAAATACCTGCCTGGGAAGTATAAGGACCCAAGTTCGATCCCCAGTACCACATGCCATGCTGGCCCTGGAACCCCAGACATACTGTGCCGGGCCCAAAACCAGGCATGGTGGTGCATGCCTGTAATCCTAGCACTGGGGAGGCTGAGATAGGAGGATCACTAGGAGTCCAAACTGTGTAGTAAGATTCCATATCAAAAAATCAATTAATTAATTAGAAACAGAAATAGGAACACTAACTTCCCTTCTCAAGAGCTGGGACATCCCCTCCCTTGCCATCTGTAATTCATCTTAAATGTTCTTTGTTTCTCTACAAGCACCTGGGAAACGTCTGTCATAAAGGATATTTATGCCCTCCAAGTAGCTGTGAATACATTTTCACCAGGTCCTGCCATTCACACCAGGTAGGATCCTGGAAAATCCATCTACTCGCCAGGCAGGGGTCACTTTGATGGAGTCAGCATTCACCGACCCTGGACACAAGACCCACTGCTTCAGTGACGGCCAGACCAGGTAATACCAGGTTCCTTCTGTTACTTCAAAGTGACAGGGCCAGTGGTTCAGTTGGCTTATTAACAGCCACACCTCAATGCTTGTGTGTGGCCCCGAGTGTGTGTGTGTGTGTATCTGTGTGTGTAATAGGCATGCGTTCTGCAGTTCACAAAACACAGCCACTAACTCTAACTGGTTTGCCTACTGCAGCACCACTAGGGATATAATGAGGGGTCTGTTTTACAGATAGAAGTGGAGGTCCAGAAAGGACGAGTGATGAAATGTGACAAAGAGGGAGAAAGGAAAGGTGGCCCTGGCGCCACTGGGAACCTAACCATCCCCTCACACAGCTGTCAGCTGCCCGAGCTCCTTCCAGCGGTGCATCTTCTCTGGCAGGTCTGCATCCTTTGAAATACATCAATAACATATAGACAATAATTTGCTTTTTTTCTGAGGACTAAAACATCAAAGGAAATATCACTTCACTGCCAATTTTCCCTGGGCAGAATGTTCAGGAACACCTCCTTACCAAAGACACGTTGCCTACAGGGAGCCTTCCGAGACCCCTTGACCAAGGCCCCAGGCCTCTGGGCTCCACCGTCTGCTAAGGCTCACATGGATAGCAGATTGAAAAAGCACAATCACTTCTGTGTGCAAAGAGCTAACGGGTAGGGACCAGCCTAGTCGCTGGGCCACAGAAGGAAATCAGAGATGGTCTCCACTGGGCAAAGGCATGGGAAGAGGGACAGTAAGCTCAGAAGGAGCCGTTCCAGGACCTTCCATGGCTGTGCAGATGAGAAAAGCGGGTCCCCCGCAGAAAGAAGGAGGGGTAGGGCGGCAGGAGACAGGGACAGGATGGGATGTGGTCACCACAGCAGCATGCCCACATAAGGTGGATAAGATGGAACTGCAGTCAGCAAGGTGACAGGGAGGATCCAGCTCTGGGTAAGGGGGCATGACATGAAGAGGACAGAGAGGGACTCATGGCAGGAAAGGACACCACCGATCTGAAGGGAGACTGAGAGGAAGGGCAATCTGGGTGCTGTGCGCTGTGGTGGAGGGAGGGATGGCAGAGGCCTGCCAAGAGAGGGAGGAGGAGGGGACAGGAAGGGACAACTCAGGAGATGAGACTGGAGGGAGGCAGGCAGCAGGAGAATGCTACTCAAAGAGGAGGAGCTGTGCACTGGGCCTCCTCCAGGCCACCAGGTGGGGACATCAGTACCACAGCTGGGGCAGAGGCCAGGTGGGGGATCCTGACTGGGAGCCATCTTTACTCCAGAGGGTACTAAAGGACACCAGGACTGCCTGGGGTCACAGCAGGGCAGAAA